CAAGTAGCTGGGACCACAGGCGCCCACTACAACGCCTGGCCATTTTTTTGGTTGCAGCCATCATTGTTGTTTGGCAGGCCTGGGCTGGGGATTCGAACCTGCCACCTTAGGTGTATGTGGCTGGCGCCTTAGCCGCTTGAGCCACAGGTGCGGAGCCCACATAATAGTTGTTTATTGAGTAGCTGCAGGCTGGAGGTGGAGATGAGCTTGGCAGGATCCCTGCCTTTTAGGCCGCAACCAAGTTGGTTGGGGGTGGCTGCGGGACCTGGACAGGCAGTGACTCCACAGCTGTTGTCCCTATCTATCCCTGCAGGGTGTTCACTAAAGGTTCTGGCAGACAGCGAGCGATACACGTGGATTGTGCTGTGAGGGCGAGCCACCCTGGACACTGACTCCAACTACCTCCACGGCCTGGGAGCTGGCCACCTCCCTGGGCTGGCTGACTGATGACCGGCACTAGTGTCAGGCTGTGGGAAGGGGGCTGGGTGGGGCAGCCCCCTGGTGGCCTGAGAGTCTGGACGCTTTTTATTTATGCCTATTTAAGTTGGGAAGGGGCAGAAGGAGGGAGCCCTCTGTCCCACCAGCCTGGAGCGCCTCACCTTCATCCAGAGCTGGGCATGGGCCCTGGCTCTTTGTGCATTTGCCCCTTTCTTTGGCTACAGATGGGGACATTACCCTTGGGAAGGCCAAATGGACCCTGTTCCTCCTCTACCCAGCCGGTTCCTGCCCCCAGGTGGCCATCCCCACTTCCTCTTCATGTAATAAATGTTCAATTTCTGAACCTTGCTGAGGTCCACTTACTGCAGCTCCAAGGCCTGGCAAGTCAGCAGTAGACAAACATCACAGCGGAATTTATTGTGTTTTAAGAAAGACTACAAAAAGGTAGAAAACAGCTCGGCACACTAAACTACCACACGTGTGGACACGTTCACCGCTGGGAGAGAGGAGGCCCCGGGGGTGTGGACAGGGCCACATCAAAAGCTTTAGCACACGGAGCACACAAAATAGTGATTTTTATACAATAGGTCAGCTTTTTTTTTTTTCTTTTTTGCCATAAACATCTATCTCACAGGTTGAAAACACTTGAGAAAACTGGAACAGATAAGGCCATGATGGTTGGAAAAAAACCCAACAAGTTACCAACTCCGCTCAGGCGGCGCTCACAAATCGCACAATAGTCATTGGGGGTGGGGTTGGGGTCGCACGGCACAGAGGAGAAGCACAGTCTCCAGGGAGAGTAAGAGCGCTGGAAGGTTCCATTACAAACCAGCGGCGCCTTGGGTGTGGGGCGGAGGTCTTGGATCTGTGGAGCACCCAGCCCAGGCCGGGGCAGGCGCGGACGCTTCACGGCCCATAGCCTGCGGCTCTTCTTTGGAAGCTGGAGGCCGTGCCCTCCTCCCGCCCCCTCCCCCCCAGGCGGGCGGGACAGTACCTATTCTTGGCAAGGCAGGGCAAGGGAGGGCCCAGCGCTGGAGAAGATGCGACACCCACGGCTTTAATTGCACTTAATACCAAGAAGGGGTAGCAGTGGGGGTGCTAGGGGAGGAGTCCCGGGGCTACTGCTGACAGTGGGGTCCCCCAGGTGAAGCCCACCTGCGCCCACCCGGGGCTCAGGGCTAGGCCCAGGTCAGGCTGTGCAAAGCCAGCGAGCAGAATAAGTTAACAGTTCCGCGGGGGGGTGGGGGTGGGGTGGGCGGCTGCCTGCCTGCCCCCGGGGCAGCTGGAGGGCAGGGCTGGGGAGAGAAGCTGTGGCCTTCACAGGGGCCAAGGGGCCGAGCTTAATGCCCTGCGGGGCACCTGGGCACGGCGGCGGGTTCCTTAAGGCACGTCTTTTTTGTCAAGAGTTTGCAGCTGCGGCTCCGCCCAGCGCAGTGATTGTGTCGGCCCCATGTGGGGGGCGGGGGTAGCGAGGCAGGGGGCCCTGCCTTCCCTGTCTCCGAGGCTCCCTCCCCGTCCTGGCCGAGGATGGAGCGGTGACAGCAAAGCCACAGCAACTGTGAGGGACCCTGGCTCGAAGGGGCAGCGGGGGATCGGGCTGGAAGGGGGTGCCGGGGCGGCCGCGGGCTTAGCTGGAGGGCAGCGCCTGCACGAAGAGGCCGCGCGCATCAGTCCGCGCCAGCTTGGCCGGCGGTTCCAGGGCCTCAGGGCCCAGCGCTGGCGACTCGCCCCCAGCCGCCAGCGAGATGTCTTGCGGGAGCTCGTCCTCACTCTCCTCTTCTTCTTCCTCCTCCTCGTCTGGGGCACAGGGACCCGACTCGCTCAGAGCGGGGCCGGGCCGGCTCCTCCACCACCCCAGCCCCTGAGTCTGACCCCACCCCCCACCAAGGCCCTGAGTGGGGACATGCCCCGCCTACCTTTGTCTGGGTCCAGGGCATTCAGTGAGGTGGCCAGGTTGGCGAACTGGAGGGAGAGAGGAGAGAGGGTGAGGGTTCCGTTGCTGGGCTTCACCCCCGCGCCCCCAGGGTCCCACCGCGCGCACCTCGCCCATGACGGCGATTGGGGTCTCGCCCTTGGCTTGGGCGACGCGGTGCTCGATCAGGTAATACATATATTCGTCGTAGAGCAGACGGATGAGGTGAAAGGAGCCGAAGCTGGCGGCGCTGCGTAGGGTCAGGTCCCGGATCACCATAGAGCTGGAGATTGCGACGGAAGAAGATCTAAGGCCCCACTTGGCCCAGGCCCTCGTTCCCCTACCCCGCCCCGATGCCCTCGGGCCTAGAGCTAGCTCACTGGCTTCCCTAGGGTGTCCAACATTGTCAGCTCAGGCCTCCCCGCGCCACCCACTGGCTCCAGTCCACCAGGAAGACCACCAGAGAACTCCCCCTTACTGAATCCTGTGCCAAGGCTCGCCCCGGGTATCGTACACTGTGGCCCCGCCTAGAGGCGTGGCCCTCCCGCCCCACTGCTGCTGCGCGGCTTGAGCACTCACCTGTAAAAGGACCACTTGAGGAGGAAGAGCTTGGCTGCCTTCGGGAAGCCGGCACTGCCTTGGTACGGTTTGAGCACCTGGCTCACCACGCCGTCCAGCCAGGCCGCCCACTGCTCTAGTGAGTTCTGTTGCTGCAGCGTCACCTTGAAATCCTGCTCCAGACGCTGCACCACGCGGTCTTCGCAGCGGCACACCCATGAGGCCTGCTCCTGGGGCACATTGGGCAGGTGGGCGCCCATGGTTCAGTCGCTGCCTGCCGCCCTGGAGTCGCTAGCTTGTCCACGCTCACCTGCACTGCCCTGGGCTCACCTGCACGTTGGCGAAATCCACGCGGTTGAGGTCACTCAGCATCTGGTTGATCTGCGCAGTGTTCTGCAGCACAGCGCGCGCCGCCTGCGCCAAATGGTTGAGCGACGTGTAGCGCCGCAGTGTCTGAGAGAAGGCGCCGGCCGCTGCCACCTGCATGCGGGGCCAGGGATGGTGAAGGGGAGGTTATGGCTTCAGCAGAACACCCACCTGCCAGCCTCTGCCCTACCCACTGCAACCTAAGCCTGTTTCCTCCCCCACCCTAAAAGGAGGGATGTGCCTCTGCGTTTGTTAGGAGACCAAGGGTTTGAGATTTGAAAATTTTGGGTGTCCACCTACCAGTGTGGGTCAAAACAATTAATTAGTTGTGTTTCCCCCAAGATTATTTTTTTAAATGAAGAAACACACAGAAAATATGGAGGGCACTGCCCACAAAGGACAAGCATGCTTTGATAAATTTTTGTTTTTATTTTTCAATACTATATTCTCAAACCTCAGCTCTAGAGGGACAGGGGTTTTGTCCATCTTGTCTTTTTCGATTGCTGTGCTCTGACAATGAGGCTAGGCACACAGTACATGCTTAATAAATGCATGCTGCGTGAACAAATGTATACACGAGCCTAACCAATTCCTATGAAGAGCTTCCTCCTGGAAGCTTCTACTGTCTTCATAGGCTCCCATCCCCTGGCTCATGTCCAGCCCACGCAGGGGTGATTCTTCCCACATCTAGATCCATGTAGCTTTCTTTTTAGCCCAAGAGCAAGTACATCCTATTGAATCCCTCACATCTAAGTAGTTACCAAGTATGCAGCATTGATGAAAAGGGCTGTTATTATTTCCTTGTAGATGTTGCCTTTTTAAAAAAGGTTTATCTCTTTTTTTTTTTTTTGAGACAGAGTTTTACTCTGTCGCCCTTGGTAGGGCCTCAAGCGATTCTTTTGCCTTAGCCTCCCAAGTAGATGGGACTATAGGCACCTGCCACAATGCCCGGCTATTTTTAGAGATGAGGGCTGTGGCTCCGGCTGGTCTCAAACCTATGAGCTCAGGCAATCCAGCCGCCTTGGCCTCCCAGAGTGCTGGGATTACAGACACGAGCCACCGTGCCTGGCCCAGGTTTATCTATCCAGAACACCTAAAGCGCTTTCTAACAAAGCTGTCTGAAGAAAACTACTGTAAATTTGCATTCCACTTTTATTGTTTTTTAAGATGCTGTTTGAGTACAAAAACAACAAAGAGGTTATGTTTGGGAAGTGGGTGTCTGAGGAAGCTTAAGGTTAGTGAACAATGCCCGGGTCCCTCTCTGAGGTGCATGAGGCCTCTCTTTCCCCTTGTCCACGTTCATCATCCTCCAAACAGGTGTGGGAACACATCTTACTATGCCCACTGAAGAGAGGAGACTGAGGACCCCCACCCCAGAGCCAGGACGGAGGAGCCAGCGGTGAGCCCAGGTGGCAGCTTGTGCCCTCACCTTCACCCGCAGCATCTCCTCGGGGATGTTCACCATGGCGTGGGTGAGCCAGCTCTCCAGGCTCTTGGCAAAGTTCCGGATTGCTTGGGTCAAGGCACCTGTGGGCCGCGGTGGGGGCTGGTCAGGGCAGGAGGGTGCATTTGGGGAGTTGGGAGGGTGTGTGTGGGGAGTCCTGGCGGCCCAACACTCACTGGGGATGGGCCGCAGCACGTCAGGAATGAGGATCTCCACCAGGCCCTGGTACAGCACGTTGTCACAGTGCTTGGTCCACTGGAGCACAGGCTCAAACTTTGAGAGGAGCACCAGGCTGGCTTTGGGCAGCCGCTTCTCAGCCTCGTCATGCCTATGGGCACCCATCCCACCTTGGGGTCACTTAGGCACCCAGGGTCAGAAGGACACAGCCTTAGGGTCAGGCTGGTGCAGACCCCCTAGGGATCAGATGGGAGTCCTACACTCCACCCTGCACAATGTGGTGAAAGGGGCCTTGGAACCCACTTACACAAGGTTGGAGAAGGCATCCTACCCCCATACCTAGGCTTGGTGAGGAATGAATGCCCTGCCCACTATACACCCTGTCAGCTCCAAATGCCATACCCCTTCCCACACATCCTGCCCCACCTTGTGCACCAGATGGATGCACACAGGCGCTCTGGGAAGTCAAGGGCATTAAGTACTCCACAAACTGCAGGGGTCAGGCAGGTGCCCCACTCCTACATGATAATGGAGGTCAGGCCACCCCACATGGGTGGCCAACTCCCCTGGGTGAGAGGGGTTGTGACACCTCCTGCCCCTGCCTCGCCCTGTGGGACTCACACGGCCAGTGGTGGTGCTTCACTGGGCTGGCTGAGGTTGTACCTCCAGAAGGTCTTCCACAGTGTCTCCACCAGAGTAAACTGCAGGTTCACCATGACATCCACAATGGCCTAAAGGAGAAGCAGAGGCTCAGGGGTGCTAGGGGCCGTGTGGCCCTCCCCTGTCCACAGCTGGTTCCCTGCTTACCCTACCTCACAGTGTTCCCGGTACAGGACCTGGAAGGCCTTGATGTCCCCAGGCCCAACACCTTCAGGCAGCACTTTGCCTTGGAGGTCGAGCTCTGTGAAGTCAGGGAGGCTCCGGGAGGCATCTGGTGGGGGAGCCAGGTAGGGTACAATGAAATCCTTCAAGCCAGCCAGTATGTCCCTTCCTCAACCATCCCCTGAGTTGTCATCACTTTCCCACCAAGTCTGGGTCTCCCATGAACAATGAAGGATGGCAAGGTTCAGGGAGGGTGAGAGCCTTGCCTGGAGTCTCAAGACCATGGAAGGCTCCAGAGCCCAAACTCTTCTAGCACAGGGAACATAAGGGCCTTGTACAGCCTGGCCTGCAGGCTAAGTGGCAGCACCAGGCCCACCCTTGGGACATGGGCTGCTGAGTCCAGGCTGTGTCTTTGCACCTGCCTAGCCAGGGAGCAGACCTCCAGGGCCCAGTCAGCATATAGGGATGCTATCCTGAGCCTAAAGACCCCAGAGGAGGGTTAGCCATGGCCTATTGATGCACCTTACCTGTACTAGCAGTGTCATTCCTCCCCCTGCTCCCCACCTAGCTTCCCTGGGACAGACAGGGCAGACTGGGAGTCTGGGCCTCACGAGCAGAACATCAGGAAGTAAGCCACCATATGGTCGTCATTGAGGATGTGTAGCTGGTACACATTAGGTTCTTAGAGTTTGCTTGTTTAGTTAGCATCATTTTGTCTCATTTTCCTTGATGGTTGTTTGCTTTTTTTAAAAAAAGTATCTTCTAGAAACTGTGGGCACCAAAAACCTGCCTTCTTGGTGAGTGCTCCTAACTACACAGGTGATCCAGCTCTGTGCAATGGTCTGATGGGCAAGGAAGCAGCCCACACAGGGCTCATAAGGGAAGGGAACTGCTCCATACGCCTCAGACTAATGATTAATATGGACCACAGTCTAAGTAACCAGGTACATCTGGGTGGGATTTAAGATCTCATGTGGCATAAAGGGGACTTTGGTGGGCTCAGCACCTGTGGCTCAAGTGGCTAAGGCGCCAGCCACATACACCTAAGGTGGTGGGTTCAAATCCAGCCTGGACCCG